GGCCATTCCCATACTGAAACCGGCGGAGGAAACTCTTGGAAAAGGAGGCTAGTCTGGATTTAGATATCCCTCTTGTTGCTGTATCACTGAATGCTGCTCCTGACAGCTCATCTGAACTGACCTTCTGTCTCACCTTCGTAACACTGAGGGCTGGGATTGTGTTATTTTTGCTCCTAGACATGCTGGTAAGTCTTGTGGTATTTGAAAGTGTAACTCGATAGCTCATCTTCAGTTCCAGAAAACAGGGATGCAGTTCCAATCAAACATTATTGCAGGATTTGATGCCCTAAGTCTCAGTGCCTGCACAGCTCCCTCTGCCCTTGGTGTAGAATCAACTCCATACAGGTGACAGGGAGATAAAACCAGTGATAAACTAATGCATTTTTCTCCTAAATGAGTAGTCATTGAAAATGAATGGTTACACTCTGCTATGAATGTGACACAGCCAAGGAAATTGTCATTAAAGAATCCTAAAAAGATATTTTCCCTTTTAATAGCTCAGTAGTTGTTTTGTCTCCAACTGCTGAGGACACTGGGCAATGGTAAAAAATCAAAATACAGGGTAGAGAAGATGTTCCCGCTTAGTGGTGAAAAACATCAGATTGACAGACACTGAAACCAAGCTCTTGTGCTCTCAAGTGAAGAAATCCAGTGCGGGCAGAGCCTTATGCAACCTTCCTCCCCATTGCCTGACACTTGTAGCTCCGAAATGGATGCCTGGTGAGATGGGGAGGTGATGTTCTCTCTGTTTCGGAAGAGACTCAGATGTAGTGCACGGAAATGACTCATTCCCATTCTCGCAGTAGGAACTGGAAACAGCCCTGGATGTGTTAGTAATTTGCTCTAAACATGGACTGCTGTCTCTGACATCGTCGCTCGCTCCACGTGTGCATTCAGCCCTTCCCATTTAATACTTGCCTGCCTGAACACTAGAATGGATTGGGAACAGTTACACAAGTCATACAGCCCATGAAATGGCTGTCAGATAAAAGCTTCATTCTTACTATCGACGTGAGTCATGATACTCTTTGTGCCCTCTTGCCATTATTTGACATGCTATTGGCAATTTCAGTTTAAAGAGAAGACACTAAAGCTGCAACACAGATGCAAGTCAGAACCAAGGCAATTACAGGTATCCATCCCCGAGAATGTTGTCTGTAGAGCAGGGACTCCTTTTCCCAACACAAAGGTGGCAAAGCCAGTTCAGAAAACACTAGGAAGAAAAAGATATTTCAGATAATATCATTCTAGTTATAACTGCAGAGTCTAACTTATAAGCTAGAGTTGTTAAAGGACTCCAGGTTAGGACTTCTTGATGGAGGAGAAAAAGCCTTCCTTCATCTTTATGTCAAAAGAAGATGACCTAAAAGGAAGGCTACTGAGATTTGCGGGAAGGGAAAGATTTACATTGATCTGGGCAGACTATTAGACTTCAATCAGTTTTATACCTCCAGGGAGGAATAAGAGGAATGTGCCTGTGGTGACCCAATGGCAGAGTCCTGCTCTGTGCTGAACAGTCTGGGCACGTGGATAGCAATCAGGCTCATCTGTAGAAGAGATCCTAATCTAAGAAAAGCCTTTTATAAGAGAGGATGCCACAACAGAGTCTACCAAAATTCAGGACTAGGATAGACAAGCTGTTCGGTATCTCTCTGCCGTTAACACCCGAAGAACATAAACGTCAGTTCGCTCAGTGGAGAGACAGAAAGATACATCAGCCAGCAATAAACAGATGGCAAAATTGCTAGGAGAGACAATCAAAGCAAGGGTCGAAAATGAGTTTGAGACATAAAAGAAGAATTAAGACAACTAAATAGTTTTGTGCAGAAATGATACAAATAATGACCTAAGAAAGTGAGTTAAAATAATCCTAAAAAACCCAGGCTGGCTAATACAGCTGTAGTTCAGTGTGTTATCAGTTTTGTATTTCTACCACTCTACCTACAAAGCATTTTGACATATTTGTATAAATAATGATTAATGCAGCATGACCAATGTATACTGAAATAACAAAAATATGCTACACAAAATAATTACAATTTTGGAAAATCAATTCCTTTAATGGCAGTTAAGATTTTTGCTGTTTTCTCCATATTTTAGTTTGGTGCAGAGCAAATGGTTCTGAAAGAGATTTTTCTGAGTGGGTGACACTATGCAGCACATGGAAATGACTTAAGTCAGCAGTCACACTGCATTAAAACAGAAAATTTGCATTAAAAATACAGCTAAATGATATACTCTTGGGTATTTTACTAGTTTTGGGGCTTTTTTTCAAGATGGAGTTCAAAAGGAACATTCATTTTCTGTGAAGCCTGGTACTTCAAACAATAGCCAGAATTACCCAAATTGCTTTTCTCTTTGCACCAGAAGACAGAGCTCTAAAATAACGCCTTAGAGTTGTTTATTGTTTGGAATAATTACGCCATTCTCTTCCTTTTCAGCTGGATTTGCACAACTGAAAGCTACCAGAATCTGTGTTAAAAACACGGTGTGTTGTCTCCTGCCTGGTTTCTACCCATGACACTAATGAAAAGCACACAAAATTAATGAACAGAAACACTGAAATTCTACCATCATAAACAAATTGCATATTTGATGTTTACTATCTGTCCTTCAGGCTTTTGTTGGGTCTAGAGAATGTTATTTTGTGTGCTTTTTCAAAATAATATTTTTCACCTCCTAAAGTTCAACTAATATCTTACACTCCATAAAGAGAGAACCTGGCTGACTAGCTAAAACCTGCAGTAATACAAGGGCCGTAAGAAGAATTATGAGAAACGAAGGAGCTTCCTTCTGCCAGATTCCCCCAAGGAGGCAGAAAACTGGGAAAAATACAATCTCTCACTAGAAAGAGAAAACCAAGTAGAATTATATGCTGCTGTGAGCTAGGTTAGACATATGTACCGTGCCCTATTAGAGAGAGAGCAGGGAAAATGTGTCTGTGTTTCCAGGTAATGCGGGCTTCTAAAGTGTGAAGCATCAGACTGAGCACTCAGGTTCAGATATATGAATTCAGGTCCAGTTTGGAATAAACAGCACATGAAGTACCAGAAGTAAACAGAATTTTAAGCCCTTGCCACTTTCTGGGGTTGCTTTCACCTGTGGCATATGTTGGTGTCCTCAAGAGGTTTAAATATGGGTTGGGAGGTCTGTCACCTTTCCCTTCACACCTGAATCATCCCCCAAACCAGCTCTTGGGAGCATCTCATAGTTCAAGAGTCTTCAGTCCTCTGGATTATCTTTTGCACAGACTGGTATAAGTTCAGGTCCTCTGTTCTGCCATACGAAATGGTCAAGTGAGAGAATAAACCGATCCTCAGATTTCACGTTGTCAGCCCGGATCTCTCAGATGGCTCTGAAAGCTCTGGGACTGTAAGAGGTTGGGATCTAGGCTGCTAGCTGAACTTTGATGCATCAACTAGTGCAATTCAAGGCAAGTAACAAGTTTCTTTCCGCTAAATTCCAGTTTCAGCTAAACACCTGATGTTTTTCATTCAGATGCCACCCTTGAGTATTCAACACTTGATGGAGAGCAATTGGTTCCCAATGTTTGGCGATACCCTACTTCTATACAGGAAATCTAAACATTTTATGTAACTATCTGACATTAAGCTGTCACAATCTGCTACAGTTGCTGAACTCTACATTAAATATAATGCACAGTACTACACCAGTGTGGGTGGACAACATAATCGGGCATCCTCAAAGGCACCTAAATCTGTGAGCAACCTACATACTGTGCCTGCATAAAAGGCTATATTGTGGTTAATCGTGACAAGAACTTCTCTTCTAAAAGCACTTTCAAAAAACATAATTGGAATTTTTAACCCATGCATCCTTTTTGTATTAGTGACTCCTTCTTCCACCTGGCCACAGCATTGGACTTCCATCTGATCTACCGTGTGGTCTATCACCACCTGATATCTATGGCATAGTTGCGTTTGCAAGGATTGGGATTGGGAGAGGGAAAATTAGAATTTTCATGCATAGTACTTAGAGGAGTTTTTCTGAGTATATGAAACAAACTTGATTTTGTGTGTCTGTATGTGTGCAGCTAAAGGTAAAGGGACTTGGCTATAAGATCGCTTTTGTGATTTAAGCAGGTTACCTTCTCCACTCCAACGTCACAGCTAAAGAACAATCTGGAGGAAAAAATACTCCAGCTACTCATCTTCATTTTCAAGGCATAAAGCTCAGTCCTTTGATATCTTTTCGACTTCTACTATTTAGAAATTAGATCTTGGCTTCCCTAATTTCAGGAGATTTAACTCAATAGGTCACATTCCTCGTACCTTATTTTATGTTAATCAGGAGTTCATCACAGAGCAGAGTTTAAGATTTGACTGTTGACTAATCTAAAGATAAGAAAACCCATAGTACTAACATGTTTGATTGAGATAGCATCATGAAGAGTTATTTTTCTCCCAGAAGATTTGAATCATCAGCTGTACCATCCAAAGCCAATAAATACATGGATTATTGCAAGGTAACAGGCTTCCGTACAGCAACCATCTAGAAACCTGTTCAAACTTCAGCGTAAGTTGTGGTTTTGATAGCAATGAGACTGTTTCAAGGGACGAACCTAAGCTTTAATATAAGTGTTAGCAGGATTATGGCCATAAATTTTGATTTTATATTGTCTTTTGGAAGGTCACTGCAATTCTGTGATAGAAAGACTCATCAGAGCATAGACAAGCACAGGTTGTCTCTATGGCTTTTTCGGCAAATACTATCTATACTCTGAAATACTTTATCTGCCATTAAGGTATACTGTACAGTTTTGTGTTAAATTGTTATATTCTATCCTTACCTGTACTATTGAGACAACTATTTCAGATTTTAATTTTATTTCCTTTTCAGAATATTTTGAAAAATATTTACATTTGCTAGGTAATATGCAAACCCTAATGCTACAGTAATTACAACACAATATTTACTTGTCAGATACCTCCAAGAAAAAAACATCATTTCAGCAAATACCTTTAAAGAAACTCCTTTTCTCTTTTTTCCTCCTCCCTCTCTGCTCCACTAGCTGCAAAGCCAATAAAAAAATTCTCCACCTCCTACACAGTTCAGAACAGGATCTGCGTGCATTTCTCCTAGGCATGTTTTGAGACCCAGAAGGGGATGAAAGTAGTTAATGCGCAACGGGAATCTTAATTTCAGGCACAAATCTGTACCTTTCTATTGACCTTGCTGATATGCTGCAAGCTAAATATTAAACAATTTTTTGATCAATTTAAGTCCAGCCTGGGGAGAAGAAACAGTTAAAGAAATGTCTCAAGTATACTTGCATTCAGCTAATCAGACTTTGTGTGCATCTACAAATGGTACAGAACTGAAATCAATCATTGATAATGAAACTACAAATGAAAAATGGACCGAAGACTCCTTTCCAGGATTAGAAATACTGTGCACAATTTATGTTACATATGCTGTGATCATTTCAGTGGGTCTCCTTGGAAATGCTATACTCATCAAAGTCTTTTTCAAGATTAAATCAATGCAGACGGTTCCAAACATCTTCATCACCAGCCTGGCATTTGGAGACCTACTGCTTTTATTAACTTGTGTGCCTGTAGATGCAACACGTTATATTGTGGATACCTGGCTCTTTGGAAGAATTGGGTGCAAGCTGCTGTCTTTTATCCAGTTAACCTCAGTTGGAGTATCAGTGTTTACCCTGACTGTTCTCAGTGCTGACAGGTGGGTCTGACGTGACTGATTTGCCAGGAGAGACTGCAGGTGTGAAGTTAGAAATGAATAAAAGAGCAGAAATTATAATTTTGCACAATATTAAATGGCACATTGTAATTAACTAAAAAAAACCAAATCAGCAACTCTCCCATTTAATTTTAAAATGTCTGTTAGAAAAATTGCAGCAGTTCTTTATAATGGTGTGAAGTGAGAAAGACTCTAAGTCTTTTCACCTTTTATTAGCTTGAAGTATAGTACAGCTTTTTTTTCTCAGTTGCACAGAAAAGGGAAACTGCTTAAGGCAATTAAGGGAAAAGACAGTATATTGGTGCTATCTAGTGGTGCACTAAAGTAGTTAGGGAAGACAAAAAATAAAACTGAAAATGACTGAGTGGAAATCCTTTGTCCTATGCACTCAGTGAGGCTCTAAAATCCTAGAACGTATAAGATTGACATGTGGGGTAAACAGCCAAAAGAAAACACAGCACAGACTGTTAATAGTCTGTTAACGACTCTCATGATTTGATGGTTACTGTAATACTACAGTAATTTTCAGCTTGATAAGTGCTTAGTGTGACATGACACAATTATAGTGCTTTCTCTTACAGTTCTTAGATCTTTTTCAGAGATATTTTAGCCCAGAGGTCCTGAAATTAAACTCGGGTTACAATGACAGCACTGTTAGTAGGGATCAGTGCTTCCATCTGACTGCTGTTAGGAGCTGCTGAACAATCAGTTTCCATGCACTTCTTTTCTGAATTAACAAAACTAAGATGTGATTTCAGTTCATGAGCATGTCAAGGAGCAGAAAACCCCAAAATGAATTTTAGTATTAAGAGAGAAAAAGATTTTCATCTTGTATGCCAGCAATTGTGGATTGTATGTAACAGCAAGTAGTTCATGTATCCACAATTTAAGCAATGCTACTGTTACTGTACTCCAAAAAAAATCAGCCAACACAGGAATGGCCACACTGGGTCAGATCAAGGGTCTATGTAGGCCAATACGAGCCTCCAGCAGTGCTAGTATAAGGACAAGAAAAGACACATAGGAAGAATAAAAACCACTATACAACACTACGCTTATACCCTAAGCCTTCAGATGACCTCCTGAGCAGATGTGGGGTTTGTGTATTTAATAAGCTCAATGGATTTCTCTTCTAGATCCTTGTTCAGCCTCTTCTTGAACATGTTTAGCAATGACTTTCACTGCCTGTTGCATAAGCAACTCATTTTTTTGCTTTGCATGTGGCTTCATTTGATGGCCCTGGCTCTTGTGCCAGAAGAGACAGTGATCCCTATCCATCTCTCCAGGCTATTCATGTTATATTCCATCCTTAGTATAGTGGGTTTTTTGAGTTAAGGTGTGCAGAGCAGCACATGATGTTCGAGAGTTGCATGAACAAGAGATACAGATAACTGCACAACAGTCTCTTTTGCTCTCCATTGTATCCCTAATAATTCCTAACATTTTGCCTTTTTTTTTTTTTTAATAGTTTGGTGTGGGTTTTTTACTACTGCTGAATACTAAGCTGATGTTTTCACTGAACTGTCTATCATAGCTCCAAGGTCTTGGTCCTGCATGACATCAATTCAGAATCCATCATGGACTAGATGACCTTTAAAAGTCGCTTCCAACCCCAGCTATTCTATGATTCTATGCTTTAGACACTTGCTTCTGTATTTAATTCTTCATGGTAGCTGTTACGTAAATATTCCATGCTGCATTTTCACAGCGTAACTACATGGTAAACTTACAGAGAAAGCTCAGAACATCAGTCATGTGAGCAATGCCAGACTATCATGTTCCAGTATGCTAGAAGAGCTCGAAGTCAATAAAAATGGTATTTACTTGATAAATAGCAGTCCAGCTTGCAGTTTTCTATTTAAATTTGCCTAGAAGAGAAAAAGACCAGATCCTCAGGTTGTGCAAAATGGTACAACTAAGCTCTCGTATCCTCCAGATCCTTTTTCACTTCCTTTCCTTTCATGCCAGTCTTGTGCCCCCCTGGAAGGGGTCTTTTCTTTCTGCATCATCCAGAAACTGATACTTTAGGAGCAGGGTATATTGTTTCCTTTGCTTCATCCACCTTTGTGGCAGTTTGTCCTTTTTCCATGTCCCATTTCCATACAGATTTTCACACAACTACAGACTTACCCAGATTTTTCTCATATGTCTGACTCAGTCCACATGCTGCAGAATCACAGCCATGAATCAACAGCAGTGTTAGCTCCTGTTTTATAAATATGAATGAATACTGGAGCATTATTTTTAGTCAAATCACTGCACTCAGCTGGGATCTTAAGAACATGGAAGAAAGGAGGGGTGTACATGCTTGGTTTCACGTATTTATAAAATAGTTAACCTGTTTATACCTTTACCAGTTTTGCCTATTAATTCCCTCATTTACCTTTCTAGGCAGTGCCATAAAAAAAGGAGAGATGATTGCCCTTACTGATCCTAACCCAAATAGTAGAAGTCATCTTTACTTAGGAAGGCTTTAATGACAAGTTCTGCCAGCCAATTCATTAAAATACATGCTTCAAATTAACTTTTACATTTCTATCTTAATTACAAAGAGCTAGTATCTGTTCATTTCCAAGACGATTCTACCACCCTTAGTTTAGCAAAAACAGAGATGCCTTTATCCTCAAGAAGTTTGCATTGTCAGTGCTTACATTCTTTCTGTATTTATTCTGACAATGATGTTGGTTGGTTTTAGGTACAGAGCCATTGTTAAGCCCTTGGAACTGCAGACTTCAGATGCGCTCCTGAAGACCTGCTGTAAAGCTGGCTGTGTTTGGATCATCTCCATGATATTTGCTATCCCAGAGGCTGTTTTTTCAGATTTGTATTCTTTCAGCAATCCTGAGAAAAATTTAACTTTTGAGGCATGTGCCCCCTATCCTGTATCTGAGAAGATCCTGCAGGAAGCTCACTCCCTGGTTTGCTTCTTAGTGTTCTATATTGTACCCTTAGCTGTCATCTCTGTCTACTATTTTCTTATCGCCAGAACTTTATATAAAAGTACATCCAACATGCCAGCGGAAGAACATGGTCATGCCCGTAAGCAGGTAAGCTATGATGGAGCACTAAGTGTCCAATTTTCCAAAATCCATCATGCTGATTAAGTCTGCATTCTTGAGTGCAAAACCTTTACCTGATAATAGAGTAAAAAGCTCCATAGACTCAGCCCATATTGGCAATCCAAATTCAGCTATGCACTTAAGCACATGCTCATGACTCATTAACTTAATTGTGAGTGTGCATGCTTTCCGAAAGAGGGGTGGGGTTTGTTTTGCTTTATTATGAACCTATTAAACTCAGGAGTTAAAACACTGAATTGTAAAAACTGAGACCTCATCCATATCAGCTGACACATTAACTATTGTACTTTTAAATCCTAGTCTAGAAGAGATTGCCCCATGATTTATAATGGAAAGGGAATGTGCTCTGCACTGGAAATACTTTGTTAGAAAAATTATGAAATAGATTTATTTTTCTGTTGGTTCCTTGTTTTGGTTTTTTTTTTCCATTTTGCTTTTTTGGTTACTAATGCATTTAGACTTTTAGACCCCTTTGAAAATCAGCACCAACTACGTAAACATGTGTTACTAATTGCTATTAATACCAGATATGCATTATTTTCTCATAGATTGAATCCCGCAAGAGAGTTGCAAAAACAGTGCTGGTGCTTGTTGCTTTGTTTGCCTTTTGCTGGTTGCCTAACCACATCCTCTACCTATACCGCTCTTTTACATACCATGCTTCTGTAGATGCTTCCACCTTTCATCTGATAGCTACTATTTTTTCCCGTGCCTTGGCCTTCAGCAATTCCTGCATCAATCCTTTTGCTCTTTATTGGCTGAGTAAAAGTTTCCGGCAACATTTTAAAAAGCAAGTCTCGTGCTGCAAGGCAAAATTTCGTACAAAGCCCCCCAGTGCTACCCACAGTAATACACCTACCAGAGCCTTGTCAGTCACGGGCAGCACACATGGCTCAGAAATCAGTGTTACACTGCTAACAGATTATAGTATCACAAAAGAAGAGGAAAGTGTTTAGTCCATCTGGGATGAAGGACAGAAACTGAGCCTTTGCAATCAAGTCACTACTACTGGGATCCTGGAAAGAGGTGCCATGCCTTGCCCTGTCTGTGAAAGAGTTTTCATCAGAAGTTCCTCATTTTTTAAAATATACAATAAAGAAATCAAACTGTGTGGGAGAAGGAGCTGCAACAGCTGAACTTTCCATTGTTCATGTTCCCAAGCATGAACAGACATCCCTAGCTGGAATTCCTGAACCGGACAGGACAGGAGTTAGCAGAGTTGGTGCGAGAATTGGCTGTAAGGATGGTTTTGTTCTTGGTGACTTTTCTTTGACTTGTGACTGAGAGCTCCGTCTGTCAAGGACTTGCATCCACAGCAACCAAGCAAAACCACATATCTTCATAACATGATCAACCAGGCCGATTTTTGAATTATTTCTTTTCTTGTCCCAAATGTTAAAAATTGGTAAGCACATCAGAAAGCATGCTACAATGAAAGAAAGCTAAGGTTTGTAGTACAGTGTAGGAAAAAAAAAAGCATTATGGGCCAGATCCACACTAGCCTTTGCTCTGTCAGTGACTTACTTTGAAACTCTGGGTAAGAGCTGACTGCTGTGTAAAGAGATGCTCCTCTCAGTTCCTAAGGAAGTCAAGGGAACCAACAGGTGATCATCTCTCTTAAAAAGCTATAATCATCTTGAAACACACTTGTAAAAGTTTTTGCGATCTATGAACAGTGCAGAGTTCTTTACTATAGTGATTTAACATCAAGAAATTGCGGTGGATCTGAGTTCTGGTTTGGATTTACAGGGCACTTTTGAAGCAAACTGCTCAAATGCCCGCTCTTGCCTTACTCCACTCCTGCACTCTGTCTCCCAGAGTGGTCTTCAGTGCTCAACCTGGATTTCTCTCAGATGAAACTGTGAGTCCAGTCCATGGAACCAGACTAGAGCAAATCTGAAGTAAAGCCCCCAAAGGTGTACAGTGAGGGGGGGTCAGACTAACCATTTACCTCCACAGATCTACTCCTGCTGTAGTGTATGTGGTCATATCTCAGTGGTCTGCACATTTTCAAGCATGCTGGGAGAGCTGGATTTTTCTACTGTACTCATTTTCTATTCTTGACGTTATTCAAGTAGTATCCCTTTTCAATATTAGGATAGACTGTCTTTATGAGATAGGCCTTCTAATCTCAAATCCACTGATTTTATAACGTTGCATGCAGAGGCAAGTCAGTGACAGCCTATCATGGGCAGCCTGTGCATCCCTAAAAAGCTCAGCAGCACTGCTGGCAGAGACTGTCTTCCCATAAAGAAATACAGGAGGCAAGTCTTCCTACCCCACATTACAAAAACGTTGAATGACACTTATTTTTATGAATTTCGTGCACCCTGAACCAAAATTTTATATTGTGGGAATTGGTGATAAAAAACATAATAGATTTTCCATTGCTTAAACCAAGGGACTTCTATCTCAAAAAAGAATTTGTGCATTAAAAGTACAGAAGAGAGGCTGCAACTATATAAATTAAACAAAATAGTGCTGTCAGTCACAGAAGTTTGAATTTTAACTAACCCTTGAAGATACAACACCTCTCCAGCTACACAGAGCCCATAACAACCCATGGATGGAAACCCATCCATCCATGCACCATTATTTGAGTTCATTAAAAGATGCAAAATCTATTTGCAGTCTCTCTCTGTTGAGTGCCCTAATCAGAATAATAAAACTAAACTATAAATCCCAAGGGCATTGGAATACAACCTCTGTCATCATCTTAAACCAGTTTAATGATAGGCCATTTTAATCCCATCAGGCCTGGCCTTATTTTACTGCACTCTTCATGTTACATGCTGCAAGGCTATAAGCACTAATTTTCAAATGGATTCTTCCTTTTGTTGTACCAATTGTACACCAGGATAGAACCATTGAAATAAATGGCAATATAACAGCACAGAAATACAATTTATGGCAAAGCAGACTCCAGAGACCTTATTTTACTCTCTTTGTCTTAATATAACACATTCCCTGGTAGTGAGCTATGTACAAATATAACAAACATATTGCACTGATGTTTTCCCCTTCTCTTTTTTCTTAATGGATCTGCAGGGTGAGACTGAAATAAATTACTAAGCCTACACACTTATGAGTCTACTTTTATCTTCCTGGATCTTACTATAGGGAATTCTAAACAAAAGAAAAATCAACTAACATTGCAGCTTCTTACATCATTCTTTATTGTAGCTTATTAAAGCCTTTGGAAAACATATCTGCCACATATTCCTGGACTTCACAATTTATCTCTGTTGGAGACCATGTTTCCCACTGCAAAATCCTTGGCTACACCTCAGAGTAGCCCTTAAAAACCAGTTTCCTAATTCACCATTTTCCTTGCTTTGCATGCAGCTGCTTTTTGCTTGTGTAACTACTCCTCTCACTGGATGGTCTATCTATTGCTAATATATCCTGTTACAAAATTGATGTTTTTACTATATGCTGCACATGTTTTTGTTAAAGACTGGTAATATTTCAAGCCATAATTTAAATATTCTGTGTACTTTATGGTTTTATAATTCTGTACTTTCAAATCTTCATGACATGTTGTATTGGAGTGATATATTGGTCAACATTTATTTTTATCTAAACAATCTGGTATTATTCATTCCATCTATTCCCCCAATATAATTATCCATAAAATGTCTCCACATTACCGTAACTGGATTTAGGGGAAAAGGGTTGTTTCCTTTGCAATCTTTTCTGTGTTCCAAAACCCAGTTCTTTCACCCCTAGGTCTTACAAGTGTAATTCTATAAGAATAATGTCTATTTATAGAAATATTGAACGTTATTTAGCAAAGAGCTGGCATAAATAATTAGGGGTTTACTATTTATATACACAATGAAAGAATAGGTAGAAACAAGGCACAAAATACTGAAAGGCAAGACTGCATCAAAAGGTCTTATTCATGTGGAATCTTATTGAGTAAGTAAATACGATTTCTAGGATGTACTTTTTTAATAGTTTGTTTTGTGAACAAGATGTACACATTAACAGCTTTAATACATATAAGTGTAACAATTAATGTTTGCAGTAGCAACAGGTTTAGTATTGGCACTCTAATTTGTGCTGTCACTATGAGATGCTGGTTTAGTTTAAAAAAAAAAAATCCACAAAAATGAACAAAACCATGTCAAAGCATGGATATAGTGTAACAGACTGCGTCTCCAGCAAAAGGCACAGAATATTAAAGTCAGTTATGAAATTATAGACATTTTAAAGCTCACTGTCCTGTTTTCATAGAAAGTATCATTTTATTTTACATAGTTAAATATGGGCTGCCCACTGACACTCATGTGTTTCTGCTATGAATATTACAATTAAAGAATAAGCTAAAGTTACACACAGCTACAGCACTTACACATCTCACTCAGTGGTACTTAAAAAAATAAATACAGGCTCTAATCAGCGTTTAGTTATGGGCTCTGCCACAGATGGTCCCCTCAGTGCAAGGTGAGCTGTTTTGTGGAATTTCCTTTGTCAGCATAGGAAAGGATATTGAAATTTTAGCACATCTGGATCTGGTCTTGTCATTTTTCGCACCGTGAAGACTCCTTTTCACTCTCACTAGTCGGTGTAACAGCTACAGGCTCCAGCACCATGGTAAGCCCAAAGAGGAGCAATCTCTCTGTGCTTAATCACTAGTTACGGCCTCCTTGATTTAAAATAACAAAGCATCTTAAGAAAAGAGTGTTAACTCTTTACCTAATTAAGTATTAGTTAGTTAATTGCTGGTTCCCCTCTAACAGACAGCAAAACACCACTTTACGAAAACCAAGATTTCGGTACTTTTAGGAGGTGGTATCTCTAGACCAACAATCAGCTCTGATGAACCAAGATTGCCTTTTATCACACAGAAGAGTCAGACACAGATACAAAACCATCATGCTAATGCCTCCTTTTGATATTTACTTTGAGATATTTTGTCAGGATTTAAAACATCATTTCCTGACAGCGTAGACTAACATGAGCTGTGTAACACTCAAGCTCTTCGCACCATCCCTCAACCGTGCAGCTTGCAGCAGCAGTGCTTCTGCAGCCATGAGTTACACCGTTTCAAGGACGTGATTGAGAGGAAAGCTGTCTTGACCCCCAAAATGATGAGTTTCCAGCTGAATCAGCTCCCTGAGCTGGCTCACTGGGCTGTCTTTACGGTAGTGGAAGAGAACAGATGGTGGCGACATGGTAAGAAGCAGTGCTGCAGTAGCTGCCATCACGCATGCTGTTATCTGCTGAATGTGTGAGGGAATTTGAGGTAGTTTGTCCTCTTAGCACATTACATTAAAGTGCGCAGACCAGATTTACCATGCACTAACCCTGCTGCACACAAGCATGCTCTCACTTCCATCAGATTGAGATTAAATTTGGATCTCCTACTCCCTAGGACAGTGCCCCAATTACTTGCTGTAGGCAGATCTGCACACTAGGGAAATCTGTACTGTGTAGGCTCAGACTTCACTACATTTACTCAGGTTATGATGTAAAAAACTCTGCCAAAATCAAATAAGCACTTTAAGACTTAAATTGTATCGTTCTTACAATGTTTAAGGCTATGATTATCTTACTTCCAAACATATATCCAATTCCGATTTTTATAAGTAAGTGCAGTTTATGTTAAGCCTCTCATGCTCCTCACCAAAACCCAACCTATTTGAGAGCTAATACAAACGTCTCCTAAGCCGCCAGTTCATAAGTGATCACAAAACAATCTTTGGACAACTATTGTAATAGCCCTGCCAAGAGAAAATTCTTGAAGCATGAAAGATGTCATTAACTAGGCTGGATGTTCTTTGTGTAACAGCCAAAGGTTGCTAGAAGTCTATATTTATATCCTCAGCAATTTCATCTGACTGGCTGGTCAGCCAGTTAGCTGATGTTGGCTTCTCCCTACAGAGCTTCACAAGCTCAGGATTGTGTCTTTGATTTTAATATCATTCCAGTCTGTATGACAGTAGAGATATATTTGTTCCTGGAATACTCATTTCCAGAAAACTTCTGTACTGAGTATCATTTTCATTTCTGAGTGGAAAGATTGCTTTGCCACTGGCAACCAGCCACTGCCAGCTTCGATGGGGCTATTCAGCTAAATTTTATTTAAAACATGTGCACTGTTTTAATACCTGGGGTTTATAGCTCTAGGTTAAATTTTGCAAAACCTAAAGAGTGTTCTTCTTCATCCTCTAAATAAAAATACTTCTAAATTCATACTTGAACAATCAAATTTGGTTTTATGTAATGCTATCTGGATTACACCGTGAAAACCACTAGATGGCACTGAATGAAGGTCTTTTAAAAGAACTGACGCGAATTAAAAAAAATTTATTTAAAATATTTAAGTACCCACAGATAGAGTACTATACTGATTAATAACTAATTGCAGACTTCATTAATGCAAACCA